TAATGAATTAAAAAGCCACTGAAATAAATTCAGTCTTTCATTTATGGCTTACACTGCTCTCACAGACAATCTGAGGACCACTTCCTAGGGCAAAAGAAGAGACAGCTCTGGACTTCCAGGCCTGACACTTGAGGGGCGCTCACTGCTCAGTGACACCCCGTTTTAAGAGATGGCTACGGGTATTTTCATTCACAATAAATCATTCCCTTACACATATACGCTCTAGCAAGCCTGCTCAACTGGGGTCCACAAGGAATTAAGCACTCACTCCCTATGGCATCCTTTGTATATAATGAACTAATTTATCTCCTACATAGTTTTGTACCATCCCTGGGGAAATTGTCACTCAAACCTTTTTTTAAGGTTTAATTTCCAGAACGCTGGTTGACAAAAATGCTAACCAATTAAGATCTTAACCTCAATGAAAGCCAAAAGTGTACACTTGGTTCCTTAACTGTGGAGACAGTCACATGTATGAATGTCTTTCATACGTACCTGAACATAAAAAAAGGTCAACAGTAACCAAAATTCCTTCCTAGATTTTGAAGAAAACTCACTATTTCACATGCAGACTTTCAGGGATGTCAGAGCATTATTAGATTCTTCTTTTGAAAGAACAGAGTATTCTCGAACATGCATCAATGATATCACAAAAAAATTTTTTTTTATTTGTATTCAAAATGTCAAAAAGACATCATTTGTCAAAAAATACATACCATATGAGATGACATATATACTCTGGTAGCAAGATACTTTAGATCCATTACAGAGAGTGGGCAAACAACTTTATACAATCAAATAAATGCAATTATTTCTATACAGAACCTGAAACTGATATTTTGATCACTAGGAGCACACACATAAACTGACAAGTAAAAATTTTTGCAAATTTCTTGTTTACCAAATACTGTAGCATCCTCTTTTTCCATAAACATTTTCCTCATATGTAAAATTAATCTTTTATTTGGGGAAGTGCTAATGGTAATAAAGGCACTCACTGTTTTAGGAAACCACCATGTGATGGACAGAAAAATCCTCTTCTGTTTTGGGAATAATACTAACTTTGCCATTACCGGAAAACTCATGTTTCCAAACACTAAGCTTAGAGTTCACAAATATCAAGCAGAGAAAAGCACTTCTGTTTGAGACAGGGGCTCACCTGGTTGCCCTGACTACAGTGCAGTGGCATCACTATAGCTCACAGTAACCTCAAACTCCTGGGCTCAAGCGATCCTCCCTCCTCAGCCTCCCAAGTAACTAAGACTACACGTGTGGGCCACCATGCCCAGCTAATTTTTCTATTTTTTGTATAGACGGGGTCTCACTATGTTGTTCAGGCTGGTCTCGAACTCCTGGGCTCAAGCAATCTTCCCACCTTGGCCTCCCGAAGTGCTGGGATTCCAGGTGTGAGCCAGCCAAAAGGTACAGGCGGTCTCCAGATTACGGAAAAGATATGTTCCTGAGGATGTCTTTAGGTTGGATTTGTATGTAACTTGTATGTTAACGGAAGAGATATGTTCCTGAGGATGTCTTTAGGTTGGATTTGTATGTAACTTGTATGTAACGGAAGAGATATGTTCCTGAGGATGTCTTTAGGTTGGATTTGTATGTAACTTGGATCCCCCGCACATGTACGGTAATGAAAATAATTATAACACTATAATGGCTCATATGTGGCAATAATAATACATTGTAATACTATAATAATAAAAAACAACAGCCCTGTACTGTAATAATAAATTACAGAAATGACTGTGCTCTTTCAATTCCAACAAATAGAACACAAAAAATAAACTCATACAAAAAGTTTAGATAGGAGAAATTTCAAAAAAGAATATTAAAGGTTAACACTCACCTGATGTTGCGTCAATGCTAGGCTAATAGGAATGTTATGCTTATTTTTATCTGCTAACTAAATCAGTAATAACCTTTCCATTGCAATAATTAATCCTCTACGCTGCTTAGTAATAACTGATGCTGTCACTGGAGCACTGCCTGTCACACGTCCACTACTCTCACTTTATGATTGTCCTGAAAGTCGAGCGACTGAAGCCTAGTGCTTTCCCAGTGAGTGGTGGCGTCTGGCCTTTCTCCCAAAGCTTAATTATTTCTACTTTCGTCTCCACTGTAATCGCCTTTGTCTTCGCTGTGGGTCCACCTGGACTTGCAGTGGACTCTCGCTTTGGAGGCGTGGTCATCAGGGTAAACACACACTCTCAAAATGGAATGAAAAAGCTAAAGGCGAAAGTGATGCTGCGCGTAAGTGACCGTGTGAACACGGAGACCAGCCGCTGGAGTAGAGATGCTTCGCCAATGAACCACTCACGCACGCAGGTTTGTTCACGTGCGCGGAAGAAACCGGTTCCCGAATTATTAATTTAATTATTTAATTCTAAATTAGCCTCATGGGGAGCCGTGGGAGCCGGTGTGTAAGCGCGGAACGCCGTAGGCCGGGTCGTCCATAACCCTGGGACTGCCTGCACTTTTATGTACGATACTCGCCTGCTCTATTATCTAGCCAAACAGGCACATGCTACACAAATGCATGTAAATCCTTTTTTCATGTTTAAAAGAATGGTAAATAGTCAAACTGTTTATGCTCATACCCACTCTGCCTCTAAGGACCCCATACTCTCTCCCCTCGCCCCCATTCAAAGGGGGTGACTTGTCCACCACAAACCAATCTTTCTAGCCGCTTGTCTCAGATTTATATGACCAAAAAGGTACCAAATGTCTTAAAAAGAAAAAAAATATTTAATATTTAATTTATTTAAATAAAAGAAGTACAAATGACTGTGGAAAGAATGAAATAAGGCAAAGTTCTTAAAAAGACATGCAGGGATGAAACAAAAATCATGAACACAGGCAAGGAGAACAACATTTCACAACAAAGATGTTATCAGGGCTTGGGTCGAGGGAAGATGAGCAGGGATGAGATGACTGCAGCTGGGG